TATGAATTTCTATACGCAACGTATATCACGTTGTAAAATCAATTGGCATCACAACAAAATATTATTCAATTTTATTTTGATACAGTTTAGTAATTAAAAAAAAATTAATATTAAACTGAAAATATTGTTAACTCCTTTGTAATGCGCGTCACGCTATAATATCAGTTGGCAGATTCGCGAATTTTAGATTTCTGGCTGAGTCATGCAGTGTCTGTGCTTAATTATCGGCGGAATGCAAAATTTATGACACAAGTTGTCGGCAGGCATGCAGCGTGCACGGTGAAATTATGCGGAACCGGAAGATCGAACGCTGCATTACGTTGTCGCACACTAACGATATATAGTATATAAATACCGCAGTGATTGACGTAAAGTAACGAAATTTTCGATCGGAAGTTATTAGACCTTCGGAATTCACGAAAATAATTATTCGCTCACAACACACACAACTCACGCTAAACAATAAATTGATAATTCTAAAGAAACCGTATAAGAGATTTTATCATTAAATCCATGTGAGAATTATAATCGGAAAATCTTCTATACCAAAAACTCCAGCATGCACGGCTGCAAAATATTCCACGCGATTGATATGAATCTTCTACTCTTTATACGAATTTGAAAGTACAGAAAGAAGCCACCGAAAAGAGCTTCTATCGTTTGAGACTTTCAAGGATTGCAAGGGACAATTCGTTTTCTTCTTCCGCCTTTTGCTGCTGATCGGTCAAGCCATTAAGCGGAATAAACAGTGCGCACAAAATTTTCATTATTTAAAAAGCAATTCTTTTAATTCTTATTATTTAAAAAATAATTTAACATTTATATGTATAATATATAATTTAGTAGTATATATAATTATATGTGTAATTTGTATACGTTCGTTAAAATACAACAATCGAATACTTTGTTAATTGTATTATTTTTCATGCAATTTTAAAAAGAACAAATTTATTAAAATAGTTGCGTGCAAAAATGAATATTTCATTTTTACTCTCATTTCGTTTTTATTCTCATAACTTATATCACTCCGCTCAGCAGCTCCGTTATTAATTACACTCAATTATTTACTAATTACACTCAATTATTTATTTATTACATTTAATTATTTATTAATCGCGAAGCGACAGCGCTGCGCTTTGATCTATACCGCTTTGTTCCGGTACATCGCGCTTCGATAACGTTATTTTGCAGTCGCAACCCTTTCGAAGGTATCTGATTGTAGACACCGACAGCGCAGCAAGCGCTCCAGATGGCTCGTTTTCACAAATCACGTATCTTGAACGAGAATCTGGGGCAATCGGATGTTTGTGTCGCGTGAGGGAGAAAGAGAGAGAAAGAGAGAAAGAGAGAGAAAGAGAGAAAAATCAATTAACGACAGCGGTGGAGCGTTACATGGACGTAAACATACATCGTAAAGTCGCATTCGTTTCGTTACAAACCCGTTCCACTTCCACATGGCATTGTGTCACAATGTTTGGTATCGGCATAATGACATGCCAAGGTGCTCCTTAAGGACCACGTTGCAGAAAGCTGTACCCGGAAATAATCGTCACGACGTACGAACGTCCGCGTGACAAAGGAAAAAAAAGAATAGTAATCGATGGCTCGTTTTTTAATCGGTGCCCATCTGTTGCACTTGTCGACATGACAATACATTAATGCAAATGCATCTCGCTCACTACTACCGTTGTACCCGTGTACCTTTTTAAAACGCAATACAACCGTGGAACAGTATAAAGTCACGATACGATGCAAGCAATAAAAATAAAAATAAAAAATAAAACTATAAAAATTGTACGTTGCGAACACGCGCACGTGGTTGGTAATTTCCAGCTGATATTCTCGCGGTATTTCGATTGAATTTTCTATTGTACAATTATATCTATTTTTGTTATGTACGGATACATTATACTAATCATGATGTGATTAGTATAAGTGAAGTGGAACTAAATGGATAGCGACCTACATGTTGTTGCAATAAAATTATATTACTTGTACTATTATCAACACTAATATCAATGTTATGCATGGAAATATCATATTAAAATATCAGTTCATTTAACTTCTAATTACACAAACTAATTACTACAATAGCTTTAACAATGTTATTACGTTATGTTCCGTATTTTGTGCTCATGCTTGTATTAAACGAAATTTTTTGTTCTTTCAAGATTATAAAATTCGGTCGTCGATTATTCGAAAATGTGAAACCATTACAGTGAAACAATTCGTGACAATTCAAAAGCCGCTTATAGACGATGACGCGATGTGAACAGATATAAAATATGTAGCAATGAACGATTGTCGTTACTTGCTGTTTTTCTCTCAACTCGCGTATTCTATAGGAGAAAACTAGCTTAAAATATATAGATAGATTCGAGTCACTCGATAAAGTGACAATGGAGGCACGCGTCTACTTAATTGATGTCCGATCGGAAACTGATAGAACGAACATTTGGAAGGATCAAGCGATGGCGATCTTGGCGCGTGCCTTCCTCGAAATGATGCGTTTAATTAATTATATGGGCACTGCCAGACTTGCAAAAGTTTAATCAAAAAGTACACCGGCACGGCTAATCAAAGACCCTTAATCAAATCGAGCCGCGGTTCGTTCGATAAGAATAAAACGTACACGTTAAGCGGAATCTTAAATCGAGCACCATGGCGATTTTCCTATATTATACAGGTTGTCTCGGAAAAATGCCCAGCAGTTTCTGCAAATTTATGCAGATCGAGGACAAGCCTGTGCCTTGCATTTAATCAAGCCGACCTACGCAGATTGCAAGAGCACGTTTATCGTTAATGCATGTTCGATCGGCACTTTTCGGAGACAGCCTGCATATTGATGCCGCGAGAGAGCTCTGACCAAGCCACGATGAAGACCGCATTAATAAGGTCACGAGCTTAATGAACCAAAAAAAAATAAAAATAAAAATAAAAATAAAAATACTAATAATAATAAAGAGACGAGCGGGAAAAGGGGAAGAAGCGGGGAAGGCGAAATAAGGCATCTAATAAGAATTAATGACCGTTGTCCTAAATATGTCTAAAGAAATAAACGAGCCGAAACGTCGTTAAGGATTTTGTACGTTGACTTCGCGAGCGACCCGGATGGTCGTGAAGGTCGCTGACGGAGTGTATCACAGAGAATACTTCTTTCCTCGTACACGACACGCGATGCTTGCGTCTTGACACCGCACGAAATTAGGAGGACGAGCCAATGCCAATGCTGTTATATCGCGTGATCGAGGCAATCATCGACGATCAATTATGAATCGTTTTCGTCTGGCACGATCGATGGACCTCCGTAGTCCGCGGCGGAATGTCACGTGGTAGGAGAAAAAAAACTTACAGAGCTAATAAATTATACTTGTAATTAGTAGCGTTTTGAACTAACACAAATTGATTAACACATACTCGCAGACACACGGACTCATATTCACACATGTAAAACACACATTTACCCACACGCGTGTCGCATACATACGAATAAGTGTGCGCAATGTAAACTAGACGAGCTTTAGGCTAATCAAAGGGCTCGAATTCGTTGAATGGGAGCTCGCGGATAAGGACGATGCGGCATGGTATCACTCGTGACTTAATTAAGGACATTAAATAGCCGCCCGATGTTGGCATTTAGCTGGTCTAAATCGCAGAGGGTTCGTTTCTACTAATCATAGTACTGTTGAGTTTAATCGATTGTGAGATACTTTATTATTATACATATGCGTAGGCTATAATGTCGGGAAATCGTATTTGAAAATCGACATTTCTACCGAGACGTTTGTAAGGTGTGTGTTCACGTATGTGCGCGATAGCAATCCGATCGATCCCATTTGGCGATTATCACGTGGCGAACGGCGAAATGAATGTGTAATAACGTTTCAGAATCATTAATGCGTGGATATATAACGAACGTATAAGGAGATCAAAGCAAGAACTTTCGTTCCTCTAATTAAAAAAAAAATCTCAAGAAAAAGGAGAGTGCGTCAAAATTTGCATAATTTACTGAGATATAATTTCATCTGAGAAAGATTCGTCTCTCCTCTGGTTTACCATCTGAACTCCGTGCTGGAAATGAATTAAGAAGCAATTACTTATCCTTAATGAAACACATGCATATTAATGGCAGATGTCTGGCAAGTTCCGCGTCCGAGTTTCGAGATCGACTCAGGGTGCAAATCGTCCCATCAGAGTTGAATGCATGATGCCCTTCGCGAATGCAATTTGTTCTATCGTCCTTTCTCGTCGCGGATCTCTCCTTGTCGGTTTGACCTTAATTGTAGGCTAACCTAGATTATAGAAGTCGGAGGCAATTCCGACGAATGAACAATCTCAGATAAGGCTCTCCTGCTTTGTCATTAAGCCTCGCGGATCACCCGGTCTTGTTGCGAGTTTTCAATATTCCACTGCTGCCTCTCTCTACTTGGAATTTCCTACAATAACACTAGTCGACAAAATTTTACTTTTTTTGTTAAATTGTTAAATTGATCTGATAGAGAGTGTTTTATGCATTTTTGCATAACTGATTTTAAATTTGTTTGCTAAATTCATAAAGAGAATTTTTGTAAGTGACATGCATTCAAAAATCTTATAAATCGATGTTTTTCGATAATTCATCAATCGACAAAATTTTACCTCTTTTATGTTAAATTGATCTGATAATGTGTTGTTTACAGTATCTTTTGCGTTGATTTCAAATCTGTTTGACAATTTTATAAAGGCAGGATTTTGTAATATAACATAGGTTTAAAAATTCCTCTATTTATCTTTTCTGCTTAGAGATCTACAAAAATCATTTATAAAAAAACAGCTAAATTTGACATGATTTTGTATTCGTTATAAAAGCCTTCAAATAAAAAATAAATTTTAATTAAATAAAAGATCTTATACAACAAGTGTTAGCAAAATATGTAAGTTTTTAAAAAAAAAGATACGTCGGTCACAAAAAATTAGAGTTATTAGAATAAATTTTAACTTTTTCAGAATCAGCATAAAAATACATAAGAATCAATAAAAATCATTCATTTAACAAAATCATTATTAACCGATATAATCGCAATTGCCAATTTTTGAAATTGTCAGCAAATCGTGTCACTATGATAATGGCTCAAGTAATTACGTTTGGTCACGGAGGATAATGTCATTATCCCAGAATCAATAATATTACAGATATTATTTCTTTTTTGTAGCAGCAAATTATTAATTAATGAAATATATAATTGGTTTATTTCTTTATTTTTATCTTCGCTTATGTTTAAAACAAACTCTGTCTTGAAGAAATAATAAAAAAACAAAAACACAGCAAAAAGATCGGATGCAAAAATATCGCCGACATAAATGCAAAATTAATCGCACGAAAATTTGCAAATTAACATTATCACATATACTCGATTAAATCGTTCAAATAATTTGTAAAACGCTCATAAAATTTTTTACGCTCGTTTGCAATCGAACGAAATGTAATATTCAGTATTAATGTTTCCAGAGCGCGATATTGTTTCCTGTCGGCTTGTGTCGATGTGTTTACCTGGGCGATAGCGCACAACGCGGTTAGATGGCTCAATAACCAGCAATGTATGCTTCTGGTGACCCGCCTCGCATCGATCATCCGCATTCGACGAGATATCATTTCCTCTCACTGAAACTTTCCTGAAAATCTCGCCCACAGATAGCGATTGGACAGGTGTCAGCAACACATTTCGCGCCATCGAAAAATCTTCTCGTATCATCAGGACACCTGCTCTTCGATTACATCAGAAATGTACGTTTTCATTGACAGAACTTGTCAATTCATCAAGTTTTTATTTTCATTTTTAACTTAATTTTATGGTTTACGTATACTTCTCGGTTGTCCCAAGAAAAATTGTTTTCTATATATCAGATCATGATGTACTATCAACATTTTATTTAAAATTCAAAGACGATATAGAAAAGGGGTATAATTTATATGAATATTTATAAATACAGGAAATATATTAAGAAAAGTTTTATAATTTTTTTTTAGTTAAAGTATATTATTTAAAAAAGGAGTTTTTATTAAACTTTAGATTTTGTTAGTTCCAGTTCTTTTATTAGGTGTTGGAATTAATTCGTAGCGTTTTTTAAGTGATGGGAAGTACTTTCATTAATGTATTTTTTAATGCTCATGTGAAATAAATAACATTCTTTCATTAAAAAACGCTACGAATTAATTCCAACACCTAATATATCAAATTTTAAATTCGTGATCGCTCTCTCTCTCTCTCTCTCAATTGCTGGACATCGTGTTTCAAATTACAAAAAATTTCTATCACCATTAAAGAGGTGCTCTCCTTGATTTTGTTTCACGATGAAAATAAATACAATTACGTGATAATTCGTCGTTGCCGCATATAAACTGCCGCATAGTCAATCGCGTTTCCTCACAGGAAACTTCGAAAAAAACCCGTCGACGGATTGCTAATTGCCGCAACGAGAATGTTATATACGATGTACAAGTCCTGATTTTGTAAAAGCAGCAAAACATGTTACATCTAGAATAATAAAAGTGATATATATGAGGTTTTATAAAAGCTATCCCGTTTCCGAAGAGCAACTGTTTCTTACCCGATATATGCCTGACCTACCACACGTCTTTCATCTTCTTTACGTCATAGCCACTAGAAAATTTTCTGACGCGCACAGCAGGTTTGTAACTACTACGGAAGTTTCTCGGGAAAAGCAGTAAAATGTCTTGGGGATTCTTTGGCAGCATGCGGCTCCAGGGTGCTGTACCTAAACTGACCTTTCGCTCGAATTTCATTTTATTTTGATTTAAAATCATTCTTTCATTGTATACAGATGCGAAACTGTTGTATACAATGTGAAAACGAATGAAGACGAAATTTAATTTCTCTTTCCTAAGAAATAATTCATTATTCTAAAATTGTATATTTGATTATAAAATTTCAATTCCAAGTAAATAATTTTTAATTTTGTTTCTCTCAGGTTTTCTTGGACTTAAATGTATAAGATAAAAAAAAAATTAAATCGAGATTCACAAGTACGGCAAGAAAATGCCATTTTTAAATGATATAAAAATCTCTGGTATCTCTGGTATTTCTGGTAAAGAAAAGGGTAAACTACAAGCCTTCAACTGTCAAAAGATCCAGATGAGTAATGCTGTTCAGAAATATTTATCAAGCTTTTAAGCGATACGTTATATAAAATAGAAAACACACGTTTAACACTTCAGTGCTCGGTTATAAACCTATGCTGCAGAGATTTAAATGATTTATTTCAGAAGGATGTTCCAAGTGGTTTATTTAAGAAAAAGCAAAAGTTTGCCCTTAATTGAATAAAAATAAATAATTAAAAAAAATTTTTTTAAATTTTATTTAAATGTCAAATGTTAAAAACAGTAGTCAATGCATTCTAATTTTATTTTGTATTTAGTTAGGTATGTGCTGATATCGCAGAGTCGCAATATTTTATTTAATGTATAAAATCGCCCTGTTTACGGGCTACTAAAATCCTAATCTCTATTCATGACAGTCACATATGCAATCTCCTTTGTATTTCCGTGTTTCTTACAGTCTTCATGGCCAGTATTATGTATGTTACGAGCAGTAAATCTACACGTATCACACGAATTTTCCGGAGAAGGACTGTTGGTTTTGCGGAAGCACTATTGTAAATCTCATAATGTTCTACAGTTTAGGACGAATCCCAGAGGTTCTATAAAGCGTAAAACGAGTATTTGAGTTTTCTACTGACTATTATTTCTTGAATCGATTACAATTGTCCGGAAATGACGGTCTTTTCGGTTTTTTTTTTGTGATAAATGTTAATTAATACCCCAGTCAAGTCTTTTAAACTTGGTGCTCTTTTAGGGTCAATCACGAAATTAGAAATTTTACTTACATGTTTCTTACCGTTCCACCCTAATTAATAATGAAAATTGCTATAAACTGAAATATCATATCTTAATTATATCGTAACACGCAAATTTGGCACGGTGGCTTGCTTAAAAATGGAATTCTTCGATCGCGAACGTTCTGCCTTCCATTCACGTCCCGTTAATAGCGACCGTATTTGAAATTGCATACACGTCGCCAGTTTAAATCCCGGATGTTAGTGGCGTAGTGACGGTACCCAGTCGATCTTCTATAATCGAGCGTTTTTATTCCACCCAGTCATTGATTGTGTGCCACCCTTTTCTTCCATCCATCCGTCGATCGACACCTATCACGCGACCCTCTTCCGTTCCTGATCCTACCTAATCGAGGAGGCGTGCGTCATTCTTGAGGAACGATGCCTATTTGCAAGGGTGTGGCACCCGATGTACGTTCCATCGGCCCATTGAGTTTCTGGGCGCGGTGAGAACTTGAATGAACACCCTTAACTTCGCCCTCCAGCGTAGCGATCTTTATGTAAATTAGTGTTTGTTAAACATGCACGAGATTGCCGCATATATATATATATACATATACGTTTCTGTTCAGATTATACTCAGTAATGAAAACGAATTTTTTTGCGGCACAAAACATAGATATAATCTTTCCTTCAATATCCGAGAGTTTTGACGAAAAAATTCTAGTCGAAGTTTGACACAAATCTTACACTCTAAATTTCTTACAGTAAAATCTTACTTCAAGAAAGTGAAAATACAACCACCCTTGAAAAAAAAAGACAATTTTCACTATTTTTAAAGTGAATTTTCAGTGAGATTTCTAAAAAGAATAAAATCTCACTTTTCTTTAGAATGAGATTTTACTCTTTTAAAATAAAAATTTACTCTAAAAAGAGTGAAAATTGTCAAGAAGTGAAATATTTTCACTTTTTTTTCAAGGGTGGTTGTACAAGGTGGGCCATCTATTGGTACGTTTTTGAATTTCGTCGTATGGCAACACCGAACGAGCTACAGACCCGAAATTTTGACAGTTTATTAGTCATACCGTCCGCGGCACGAAACAACATGTTTTCTCTTGAAGAGCGTTTTGAAATTTTAAAAATTTATTTTCAAAGTCAGTGCTGTGTCGCCGAAACTGTACGAATTTTGAAAAGAAATATGGGTCGTGATAGAGCACCCACCGAAGGAGCTATACGCAAATTGGTGAGGAAAGTTCGTGAGAAAGGGATGTTAGTGGATGACAGAAGTGGTCCCAGAGCTCGGACAGTGCGCACACCCGAGAATATTGAGGCTGTGGCCCAAAGTGTGAGACAATTCCAGCTTTGAAAAACAATATTACGACTGTTTTGAGTGAAATTGGCGCCGAGGTAGTCCAAAATGTCATTAATAATTGGGGTGACCGAATGGCATACTGTAAGGCCAGTAGAGGGAGCCACATGAACGAAATCGTTTTTCATTCTTGACGCGGATACTTTTAGCTTCACAACAAAAAAAAAATTAATAAAAAATATCAATGTATGCTCATTTGATCGCATTTTTAAAAACGTACCAATAGATGGCCCACCCTGTATTTTCACTTTCTTGGAATGAGATTTCACTGCAAGAAATTTAGAGTGTAGTAGAATCTTTATATCTTTTAGTTATACATAAACGCGCGATTTAATTTTCTGTTTGACAAAACACACACACACACAATTAAGATGTTTCTCATATTTAGAATATTAAGAATATTTGCGATATTATCCATTTTGACTCAAATTTAAGGCGCATGGCACAGTTAATAAGCTGGATTCGTGCAAGAGTCTCTTAATATCCGAGAAAAATGATATCGAGAGAGGAAAATTATAATCCAGAAGATGGATTTTGCGCTTGCGAGAAGACGAGGGATGGGATTCTTACAAGAGCTTCGATACATTAGAACTTCAAAGCTTCGGAAAATAAACCGAAGCAAGAGTAAGTAGCTTGAAGAAATAATTCATCGGTGGGATTTAAAAAGAACATGAAAAAAAAATCGACCTGGTTTCACCTTTCACGAAGATTACGACGACCGCTCCAATCTTTCTGTCACGAGTCGAGGGACAGACACATAAGGAAAACAAAGGAGAACATTCTCTCTCAGATAGAAGGTCGGTTTTTCTCATAGTCACGATGATACTCCACGGTGACACGCAGGTCTCATTAAGAGTTATCTGGATTTACTGGCTTTTTGCGGTACAATATAAAAGAGTGAAGAAGAGAGGGGGGAGGGGAGAGAACGAGAGAGGGGGAGGGAGAGGCCTTTTCTCTAAATATTCGAGAATTCGATGGATTCTCAAAGGCAGCTGTTCAACAGCTATAAGTAGTTGCGACCTTTCGAGGCTGCGGAATATCGAAAGTTCGCCAAGTTCATTATATCCCGAACTTCGCGGCGTATTGCGGCTCGGCTACTCGGTACGTATACTTTTCAGTAATCGATAGTTCGAAAGTACCGGAAGCCCCTACCTCGATATACGCGCGCCGTAGTTTGGATCAGATCGGTAGGTTTATACATTAAGGTTAGCGTATTAAAATAATTCCATACAAAAAATAGAAAAACACAGAACAGCTTCATTACATAATATGAGAACACATATTATTTCCTTCCCCTTCGATTTTCTTGTTTATATCATAGGAATATTTCCTGGGATTGACATGCATTAGACTAGACGTTATTTTAATGTGTTAATTTCATTGGTATAACTAATTCACAACGCGAAATAAAACTTTAATGTTTGCACTTTATGGAACTATTAAAAAGATATTACGGAAAGATATATTATATACATATATATACATATATATATATCTTACATAGCCTATTAAAGTCAAACGATGTTTAATTCAAGAGTCACTTTAACTCTCTTCAGTTAATTTTAAATAACGTTTATGGCAACGACACTTTCGCAAACTTATTTTCTTTAATGAGAAAAGAAAAGTGCCTTACATCACTGTCTCACTCAACGATTCATATCTTTTTGCTTTAAATCAAGGATAATAAAGAATTCAAAAGCGTGAAAGCCATTGTTTACCAATCGGATTTTTAAGCAGGTCATTCGTGGCATAAAAAGGTGACAAAAGGAGATGGAGTCGCATTAGCCGATCAGCTTTATAGTTTACAGGCATGATGAGAACAACTTTGACCTGGATCGCCGGCATTCACTGTGCATAACTACTAGCCGCTGACACCCCTCTCACTCCCTCTTCAACCCCTTCATATCGTAAGTTTGCACGCCGTCAGTTTGCACTGCAGTGTCTGCGCCCTATGTCGTGCACCCCGCAACCACCGACGCGACCCTACGTATATGCATCAACGCGTCCCGTAATCCGCGATAGAGCCGCACGCGTTATGCACGTCGGCGATCTCCTCCCCCCATTGTCGTCGTCGTCAATAAATCCATATAGATCCGTAGATTGCGTGGGATTAATCCTCGCGGATGGCTGATGGAACGCTGGTCCCCAGTATAAATAAATCGATCACGTAATGCTACAAGTCGGTCATGTTTTTAAAGTCAAGGTAATGTATATATCGTCCAGCTGTCCCTTTTCGTCGGACCGACTCAGGGCTCTCTCTCTCTCTCTCTCTCTCTCTCTCTCTCTCTCTCTCTCTCTTCTCGAGGCTAGTGTACATCTACTATTCACTTAATCATGCAACCTGCACCGCAAATTATACAGCCGTTGACCTACATATCATCAGGTATAACATGCCGATTCCGTTCCGATGCGTTCGTGTGAAAACGCGAGAGTTTGTTTAATATCAAGGAGCATAGTATGATTTTTCTTTTCTTTATTAGCATAAAAACATGATTCATATCAGTATTTTCTACAGTAATATAGATAAGATATTCATTATCTTTTTGAACTAAAAATATTTAATCTCATAACTGTTTTCATAATATACCCAAGCAGAACAATAAGTCACGATAACGTCAAAATGACATTAAAATGAATCTGAAATAATTGAAAAAATGACTTTTAGTGATCATTTTGGAATTATTTTGACATTATTTTGATATCATAATGACTTGTTGTTCTGCTTGGGTATATTTTTTAAATTATAAAATTTTCAGTGATGTAAACACAAATTATATAAACACTATAGAGAGAGCATTTTCAATATATATTTTTACATTTTCCAGGAGGAAGATAAAAAAATTGTATCTTATAAATTTTTATTTTACCTCTTTATCTTCTGAGCTATCAAGATATTTGAGAAATTATTTGTACACGGCACTTGTTTTCACGTTTGACAATGGTAATATTCGGTATGCATTGGAACAAAGGAAATTATTCGCGACGGAAGGAACCTGCGGTCGCGGAAATCATACAAACTCTGCGCTTCGTTGGTATCGGGACTCTTTGTTTCTCTCTGAAGTGGTGCTTATGCGAGATCGACACGAAGATTGTCATTCGCCCGAACGTGCGGGGGCATCAAATATCGATTTTAGATTTCATGTCGCGTAACTTCGATGTCGCCCTACTTTTTCAAAGGACTATCCAGAACCATCAATCGATATGCATGAATTATCGATCGTTAGGAAATTAAAAAAAATATGTGGTGTGTTTGAATATGCAACGGACTTAAAATCTTACTTCAATTATAATTATTTCATTAATATCCTCCCGTTTGATATCTTGTATACTATCTAATGACATAATTATGGATTATTATCGTATTTCGTACCTAAAAAAAAAACAGTACTTTTATTATCCCATTACACCTAACTGTAAAAAAGTGTGTAAAATTACATAAATAATACATGCAAAAATTACATAATTTATAATGGAAATATATAAAATTATGTATTTTTACAAAAAAATTATTATTTTAAAAAATTCTAGTGATGTAAATATTTACATCGTATGTTAAACGAAAAATAATAATAGTATTATTTGATAGTTTATATATAAATTTACAAATTTTTGTAATAATATTATGTAAGATAATGTATTACACATATTATTCACATTTTTATGTTCATACATATTAATAATATAACATAAGAAAAATAATTATACATAATTTATTAACGAATTAATATGTAAATATTTCTAAACTTAATTTCAATTATAAATTATTTTTTCAAATTGTAGTTATTATGAAGAAGAATAATTTTATTTGAAAGTTGTGACTTTATGTATGTAAGTATACACCTTTAATAGTGCATTCGAAAATTACTTACTATATAATTGTTGCAATTTTACATGTAATTTTTTACAGTGTAATTATTTAATGATAGATTAGAAATTAAATTCTGAAATAGCACGTAACTGTAAAATATAACATGAAACGTGGACTATTTAGTTCAGATTTTGAGTTAATGCTTTACTGACCTGAAAAGCGCGATATCATTACGTGCGCATAAAGTAAATTAGGTTCGAAGTATTGCAGTAGAAGGTCATAATTAGCAATTGCTTTGTATACAAAATTGGCTCCGTATCTTTCTAAATTCTATGAAATTATTTTATAATTTATTTTATTATATATCAAATGATGAATTATAAATTAATTAAATTAATATTACATCGTGTGTCATAACAGTGATTTTTTGTTGGTAATCTCACATAATTAAATATCATTAGTATGTCAGCATATAAGCTAATACGTATTGATAAAATGGCTCATTAGCTGATTTTTGTAATAGGAAATGTCAAAAGTATCCCATGCTCAGAATCGCAATTGGAGTTGCGAAATGTATATGTCATTTAGAGATACTACAAATATTACGGCTCCCTCTCTCTTTTGCGCGCGAGTAAGTGTAATTTAAAAATTTTTTTCCTAAAGCGAAATATCGTTGGAAATATTGGATGGAATTCTCTAATTTAATATTCGTCACGAATCGAGAACGACGTCATAAATTTTTACAAAACGGCGCGGTTGCTCCACATCTCGCGAACCTTCAACGTTTTATCTCGACATTGTCAGCCGATAATCTCTCCAGGCAAAGTGATTTTCCACGTTCCAACCTTTTCATTATTCTTTTTCCATGTCGCCATACGCTTTTGATCAAGTTACGTGACGGCGATTGTATTACTGCAAACGATTATGCTCTGAAACTTTTTCAGATGAGCTTGTTGAATTATTCTTTCGAAACATTTCGGTTAATTCACGGCCATACGTCTGGCAGCGGTAACTATATGTTTAAATAAATTAGTTTTTTGCGTTATCTTTCTATCTCAAAGGAATGATAGAATATTCTTTATATTTTTCCATAAAAATTAATAAAATTAATTAATTATTTATACTTCTATAAAATTTCAAAAATTAATTAAAAAAGAAATTAACGATTGCGCATATGTTATTAGCAGTGCATACAGTATTTGCCGATGTTTTCACATGAGAGGTAAAAGCTCCGTAAATCATCGGTGGCCATTTACTCAATTGCGAACATGCCTTAAATCCATATTTAATTTTTCACAATTAGCGAAACTGTTTTGGTGGATGTATGCCAAATGTGTTCGGCCTAATTATTTTCTGAAATACCTAGTAGCCACACAGATCAGAATTCGAATGGATCTTCCCAAGGGAAAAACGATGCAGCGACGCTGGCGACGTTTGAAGACATCCCCAATGGACATTGGAAGATTCAGCAATACGCGCAATCGGGCTTGCTGCCAAACCAATTCAGCTGCAATAATATTTGCATAAACTGGATTTGTCGTGTCTGATTCATAAATCATGCAGCGTAATAACGACCGCCGAAGAAGCCGGCCTTTGAAGCATGCAGTGCCGCTTGGTTCAGGTACGCTATCCGTACGATAAGTGAATCGATTTGCAGGAAATCGAGCCGTTTATCGCATTCCATACTATCTACTTCGATAAATTTTACTTACTGCCCGAAGGCAGCGAACGTATGCTCTGCATTCTATCGGTATCATTTATAAAATAACTTTATATATGTATAAATTTTTTATAAATACAATTATAACGTAAATGATCATAAATTATACATGATCTCCTCATTACATCTATTTTATAAAATTGTTTCTTCAAACAAATTAAACGAGAGATTTTGTCATTTTGTTTGAAACTCTAAAGTAAACTCTAAACTAAAAGGTATAACTCTTGTTTATAAGTTTTCTTTTATAATAGCCAAGTTGCTGACAGTGACTTCTGTATTGTTGCAGCAGCTGTACTGTAAACAATGTTGTTGTTCTTACTGCAATTCCCGCCTAGAATGCCGTTCAATCGGATGTATTTTTCGTGATCGTCTCTAAACGGAGAACGGAAAGAAGATCTTCAGAGCTTTTGGCTGCAGAACAGCGGCAAAACCATCGATCATATAGACGTGAGTGAGTCGAAATTGAAGTGTTTGATATAAGTACGTTAATTCTATACTGCTAAATTTTGTTATGGAAAACAATAACTGATCTAAGAGTGGTAAGAGTACGTATTTACATCGCAGTTTTTTATGCTTGCAATTTAAAAAACCCCGCACAAATCTTTTGGGAAATGAGTTTTGGTCAAATTGTTTCAAATTTTAATATTTTATCAAACTGAAATTAAAAAAATCTTCACTGATACCTTCAAATGCTTTAATTTTTGTTGCAGGATTTTCGGAAGATCATTACATCTTATACGAAAAAATAGTTCAAATAAATTTTTTTATCAACATTAATTATGTATAATACATCATGAATATATATTGTCTACTCATGGAAAAAAATATCGGATATAATATCAAGAAAAAAAGTATCATATTTTTTTAATATTTCAAAAAATATTATTACAGTAAAACATCTTGGAAAAAAGCTTTATCTTATTTTTTAATTCTAAGAAGCATATTAGGATTTGTAAAATGACAAGAAGACTCACGAAAATCCAATGTTTGTGAGAAGCAAGTGAACTCATGTAATCAAGCATCTCAAAAGAATGAGACGTTCATTATATTCACATCATTCGTTTCGAGTAATTCTGAAAATGGGCGCAAAACTAAAATCATAAACATACCATTGATACAAGGATAAGTAAAAATTTATTTCAAGTTTCCGTTTTTTTATAAAATATAAAGACATTCCTAGAACAAAAACTAACAATAAGACAAATAATATTTGGAGGTTTGTATCCATGAAGAACTTTAATCTTGACATGAGCTGCAAAATATTAAAATTTAAAGCAATTTGACCATCCATTTTCTATAAGATTTGTACGGGATTCTTTGTAAAAAGATGTGCATATTTTCTTTTCATAAAAAAAATTAATTCTATTTATTTATCATAATGATAGCCACGCTTTCAAAAAATATACATAATCAATATACTCTAATTGTTAGATGACTGATATCACGTAACGATATTATATGTAATGTAGTTGAATTAAAAATATTGTTGTAATTGTAAAATGTTTCTTTCGTTAACTGCATGATGCAAAATATATTACGGAATAATAATGTCGCTTAGCATTGTAATCTATTGTAACATGAAGCAATGTCATTCTAAAATTTCCATTTTTTAAATCAATTTCGTGCTTGAAAGGACAGAGTTTAAGATCGGTATTCACTAGTAAGGGAGTTCTAGTTGTAAAATTTGATTATGACAGCGCACTTTTCGTAGCTAATAAAAACAGTTTCATAGAATACCTGTGCAAGGGCGGCAAATGAGAAATCGATAGTCTCGGAGCGAGCTTACGAGGGAACCGCGCGGAATCACACGATGAGATTTTTATCGGATACCTCCATAAAGCGGGAAATTACACGAAGAACTCTATGCATTGGTCTGTTGCGCTATGAAACAAATTGAAACATGAGATTTTTCTGATCGGCACGCCGCGATTATCATTCACGTTATCGGAAAAATATTATAAAAAGTATTTTCGATAAAGCTCAAACATTCTCATTGTCTAATAACAAAGTAGAAAAACTTTACCTGTTTTGCAGAGATTTATCTTAAAATATTTAATATACCAGCTACAAAATGTGAAATATTATTAAGTTATCATTTATATGCAGTACTCATAAATGCTGTACTTACATTTCTTTCTATCGCTCTTATATTTTAAAATCATAAATATATCATAAAAAGCGTGCAAATGCATATTAGATTCTCTGACTGATTTGATATAATGAGCTTTGTAATCCAGAAAACTAAGAGGAACAAGTTCTTTTCTGTATTTATTCCATAAAGTTTTTCTCTCGGAACGAATATAAGCGTATTTGTACTTGGAAAAATTTAAGGACGCATCCACAGAAGGTACTGTACTCGGAAGTTAGCGGATCTCGTTTCGGATCCGCTCGCGGACACGGAAACTGTAGTAATGCACATTACGAACGTAACTGGTACGGAAAAGTCCTCGGACCAGACAATTTGTCACGGAGTGAAAGCGCGAGACAAAGACGCATATCGAACAACTCTTCGCTATCCCCGTAGCTGGAGGATACTCGACCGTTCCTTTGTGCGACGTTGACGGAAATCCGTATTCGTGCTGACGAAGCAAGCCAGGAGCACCACGGCTGAAAGCGGAAAATGCATATCCGCTCTAAATGTTGTCGCATGACTGTCAGTAATATTTCGTAATATTGAATGATAGTCGGTTGCATAAGGCAAACGAAAATAGAAAAACAAAAGGAAGGTCTGTTCGTCCTGCTTGCATTTTTTACACTTGGAATTTTCACTTTTCTTATCTTCAACATCCGAATAGCTTGTATATAAGTATTTATTATTTAGGAGCAATTTTTGAGAATTTCAAACAATATAAACAAATCATATCGCTTTCTTCAAAGTGACACAATTAAAAAAAATTAAGTTTCCCAGAAAATGGAAAAACGATTTTTCAACTTGGCAAAAAATGATTGATTAATCAATGAAATAATCCTGCTGATCTATTCGGATCTATTTAACTCATATAATTTGTTTTCTTACTAATATTTTATTTAAAAATATTTTCTATTTAAGTTACGACGATTTTGATGAGTTCTTTAAATCGCCCTTTTTGAGTTGAGACATTTTAATGATATTTTTATGAAGAAGTTTACATTTAATAATTATATATTGATAGAGTAATACTTACCTAACTCACATTCGTGATGGAAATTTAAAAAAATCACATTTTTTTTAAAGTTGTTACTTTTGAAGTAGGGGACTGAGATTGAAACAAAAGCTAGAAGAATTATAAAGTATCAAGACTTACTTGAATAGATTTAATAGGATCGCAAAATATAAAAAGCTTTTATCTACAGTTATAAATAAAATATTTTATTTAGCATAGATAGAAGGTTTGCGATCAATAATTTATTTTCACAAAGGGTGTGCAAGTTAAGTATACATATAATTGTCATTGCGGTTAAAAATATATATATATATATATTGTACTGAAATTGAAAATATATATTTGAGTCGTCAGACGATAAAATAACGATATAACTCGTGAAGACAGATGAAAAGATATAAAACTTTTGCGTTATCTTCACAGAATATAAAAAGTTTTACGTTTTATTCTCCGACAAAACGTACCGCAATAATGCAGTAAGATTTACATTAAGCACCTTCACAAAAAGCGTTTTGTTTTTCACAACAGAGAAAGGTATGATTTATATCGCTGTCTGCTGCAACTATAATGCCTATAACACCTTTTGTGAGCATTTCCTAAGTGAAGAATATCATGCTTCCATTTATTCTACACAATTAAGGATTGCCTAATGTCTGAAATTCAAATTCACCGCTCGTTGATATTTTGAAACTATTATAACGGCCTGGGTGAAACATCATATATAACTGACATGGCAACAGAATCACCGTATTTAATGAAATAACACCGCGTAACATTCAGCGCGATTATCTTTCCGCTTTCTCACTATGCTTTGGCTACGTTTCTCTCTCTTTCTCTACGGTCACATTTTATTAAAAATGGGAGACATTTTAAACTGCCCGTAACGATGCTTCGTTTTGTTCACGATCCCAATAGTTACATACAAATACGTGCGCGCATATACAGGGTGTATCAGATTATTCATATTATCCTTTTCCCTCCAAAATGGATATAGATAAAAAATTAGATATATTCAAAATGGATATAATCAAAAAATTTTCATTATAAAAGCCTATCTGAACTATCTAACGGTGGCATTCTGATTTTCCATTAACTATCAAAAGGTAAACATGAATTTAGTCTGAAATTTTAAATAGAAACATAAGTCAAGTAGAATATCGTCGAATAGATCTTCTAGAGACAAACAACTTTTGCTTAAACTCTTTTTTTTATTACTTTTGAGAAAAATAATGTCGCAGATTATGAATTATCTATTTGTCCAAACATCTCTCAAAAGTTGTTTGGGTTTAAATTAGCATTTTTAAAATCAAATCTTATGTGATAAAAAATATTAAAAACTTTTCAATTTATAAATATTTCTTTTCAATGTATAAACCTATCCAAAAATATGACTCATCTATTTTCAATTAAAAATTTGAAGATTTGTTTTCTCCACTTCTCACTTTATTCATAAAAACACAAATATCATTCGATTCATTCTATTAAATTTAAAAAATTTTAATTTAAACCCGCAAACTTTTAATGTCTGGATAAATGGATGACTCGTAATTTATGATATTTCTTTATTTTTCTATACAATTTTTCTAAACCATTTATTTTCTTTATTTTTCTAAATCACTTTCGTAAGCCATAAGTGATATAAAAAAAAAGTTTAAACAAAAGTTGATTTTAAAAGACCTATCCAACGATATTCTATTCGATCTATGTTCCTATTTAAAATTCCAAACTTGACCCAAATTTATTCTATTTCCGATAGTTTTGCGAAAACCGAAATGGCACCGCCAGAGATGATAGTTTAGATATATAGGATTTAGTAATGACAATTTTTTTGAAACTTCGGACACTATCCGTTTTCGAGAAAAAAGAGTGGTATGTGTAGCCTGATATAGATTCTCTGTGTAACCTGTAAAAGGCGGTGTCATTGTATTTGCACTTTCCACGATCGTTAATTGTCGAAACGCGCTTTCAAAAAAACACGGACAAAACTTTCAAAAGCTCGTGACAGAAACAGGAAGCCTATTCCGTAGTTTTCCGATAGCTTGCAGACTATAGTTTAGAATACGAACAAAAAAAGTTTCTGAATTCTGTTGGCACATCCGACGTGAAGAATTTATCGATATCGCGCATCACAAGATAGCAAATTGCAACCTCGTCATTCCATGCGACTTTTAAATCGCTCGATGATACTATGTTATACGTTACGTGTCAGGAGAATTACATACGGCGTGAGGATTACTCTTATGCGCTCCGTACGATTGCATATTCATAGCACACCGTAGGACACCGTGGGACGTGACGCTCTTACATTGTAATCCCGTAGGCATGATGCAGCGGGAAATGGAGGAAAAAGCGAAGAGACTGAGAGAAAATCTGATTACATCCACCTTTTCGCATCGTGACAGATGCGGCAGCGTATTTACACGCCTTGGCATATTGACGCGCCAAGCATGAAACACGCCTACGCACTCTGTTTACTATCCTTTACGCATGAGCTCCGGACACGTGAATGTTGATGCGAAAGTGATCGAGAATGAAGGGAATAAATAGGTGACGGGCTGACAGAAGCATCTTGTAGACTTTGGTGTATCGACCTACGCGCAGTAACGGGTGCAAGAGTCGATAGTTGTAATCTTCCTAACAAACAATGAACGTTCAACTGTCGGTCATCAAATTTAATGTCACCGGTGTATTTTAGACGAGGCTGTTGCGCAAAACCACAGAAGGATAATTGCATTAATTATAGAGAACGCGCGTAAATTTACGTGCGGCATGTGCGCTCTCTCTGGTGAGATTATATTAAAATATGTATTGCGGGAAGAAAATGTGTGATAATATAAATTTAATATTTTCTAAATGTAAATTCCCTTTCTAATAGAAGTAAATGGAAAGAAAGATTTTGTTGAAGTATTTAAAAATTTAATTAGATGCAGATCTGAAAATAATTTTGTTGGACAAAAAATTAAAATAATTATATAGGGAACTCAAGTTTAATAAGTATGTAGCAAAAAGTTTTGACATTTTAACAACTAGCTTGAATGTCCTACATAATTAGTTTGACGGTTCAAACAAAACTATTTTCAGATTTATATCTACATTAATTGTGACAAAAAATCACTAAATCGTTAGTAATCTTAATACATATTTTTTTCAATAATGCTAATTAAACATTTTTTACTTCTTAATAAATATTTACTCAAAACAAAATGAAAAACGACAATTAAATTAAATTACAATAACTGTTTTTGTATTAAATAAATATATGTTTACATTTAATAAATATTTAATAAATATTAGTTGATACTATATTGAAATAAATATTTATTAAAATTTAGTACATTTTTGAAGTGCAGGTAAATTTTTAAATATTTCAGTAAAATCTTTTTCGTGTATATATGAAATAATGCTTAACACGTGACTGCTAAGCTATCTACATATTCGTTCTGTGGTATCCATCCGTAATTCATACTAATAGTCTTATATTCTTAAATTCTTTATCGATTGCTGTGGGCGTATCACTCCCATCACTACCGATAGCATATGTAATCCGATGTAATCTGTCGACTGTGCACGCGCGCGCGCGTATGTATGTGGGTGTGTGTGTGCACAAATATAGACGTCTTTTCTTATATGTTTCTCTTCTATTGCAAACTTCCGAGAATACTATTGGTGGTGGTCCACTTACACTTTTGACGTACCTCAAGTTGAATGTAATTTCATGCAAATGGTATCTTCAGCCTTCCTCAATATCTTTTCTGCTTTGTCCCCTTATCCACCCTCTTGCAAATATAGCAAGCGGAATAGTGCGATTTTGACGATTTGTCGTATCGTATCTTAGGTTACTCGAAGCGTAAAGTATCTGGTATTATATATATATATTCTCATATATATTCTCATATATATTCTCATGCATCAATTTTTACTATACTATATGTTTCTCATATACTTTCTCATATACTAAATTTGATTTTAATTAAAACACTTCGTATACTCTTCAAATTTGTCTTATACTGTTTTCATTATTCATTGCTGCACATCGTCTTTTTGCTGAGTTATGAAAACATCTGCTTTTCAGTCCATGTAAACTTTGCAAGTGGGACATGCCAGGTGCGCACCATAGCTTTCGGTTTAACTCAAGAACTTCGTCCTGTTTGATCCTGCAGAGAGTCCGTAGATAAAATAAAATCTTTGAATGTTTAACCAATCTAACGCAACGAGTGAAATTTCATTCGAGAGCCATTGGAAGTTTTATCGCCTCGCAACTTTGACCAACGGAAATTTCGTTTAAAATTGGATCGGCGAGGTTTAAATCGTCAGTTAGTGAAAAAGTGCTACTCGTAGAGTAAACTGACGTCATAGTAAATAAAATAGAAAATTTGACGCATAAGTTATATATTTTTTTATCATATGAGATTATTTTATCTTTGCATATATCTCAGCAGATAGCTTTTATGTGCTGATAAAATCTAAGTAAAATTTTCTAAGCTATTTGACACGAATATTTAATAAAAAGTTATTAAATATAATATAACAGAAATTTAAGTGGAATTAAATGGAATGTAGACGATGCAACGGAATGGAGCACGGAGGTCAAGTGTTTCATAAAATATTACGCTAACTCTGCACTTGCCTGAATGCCCGATACGAATAATATTTGAAACGTTCTCATAGCCCAAGTTCTCCTCATTGCAAAATACAGACTGAGTTCTTCTCATTGCAAAATAATCCCCCTGTATAATTATTTCCAAGCATAAATGCAAATAATTAGGAGAGAATGAGAAAATTGCGATTAATAGAAGTCTTTATTCAGTGGAGATACTCCAGTTATTTAGCTTTAAATTACAATAATTAACATTTATATCATTTATTATATCATTAATTAACATTTATATCATTTATTATACCATTATTATATAATATAGAAACAATGTAAAGTATAATTTTAAATTAAAAACAAAACTCTCTCTTGCCGTTTGGAAATATTCGCCGCAAAATTGATTTTTTATTTAAAATTATTTATATTAATAATATATAAAGGTTAATTATTGTAATTTAAATTTTAGAATATCTTCTGAATAAAAATTGCTATAATTGATAAATAATCGACTTTATTTAACATTTTTGTTTATAAGTATCCGCAATTACCTTCATTCTCTCCTACACGGAAAAATAGATTTGCTAAAGTATTTACAAATTTATCTAAATACAAATCTGAAAATAATTTTATTGAGCTATTAAAATAATTATGCAGAATGCTTAAACGTTTGATAACTACTGCAAACAGTTTAACATTCTAGCAACCAGTTTAAGCGTCCTAATTATTTTGATAGTCCAAATAAAATTATTTTCATATCTGAATCCAGCTAAATTTTGAGATACTTCAGCAAAAAAGAAATCATTTATTTCGAGGTGTATCAAAATCATCGAAAACATGTAATGATATTTACTTTACATAAACGACGTGTGCGTTCTATAGTCACGTACGTTATAATGCAATACTAAGCGTATATCAGACTGTCACCAAATGCAAGAAATGAGAAGTTATCATTATAACTTTAATATACTGCAATAGTACTGTTCTCGCATTTACCGTGTTATCGCAATTCCTCTCCAGTCACCCTATCGAATTATTCGGGATATAAGCGATGCTTTAGATCGAAAATGCATGTCGAGTTTCGATTTCTCTGATTTATTCTATTTTTCTTATCCTAATCGGTTACACGATGGAACGTTTTATCATTCTTTTCAGCTTTATCATTTATGCGAGAATGAACGCACATTATCGACACATGCGATTGTTAGGACAAGCGCGATATCATTTTATACGTCATACGGGTCGTATACGCGCGATTTAATCGCACTGTAGAACTCATGTGAAATGTAGGTCACTGATTCGACGATTTTAAATTATTTATTGTGCCCGCGTCGGCAAATATATACTTACGTGGCTCGCGTTATTGCACCGTCGCTGAATGCCACTCTGGTGATATTTCTATTGCAACCGTAGGAAAGCTGTCGTCGTCACGTAGATCGCAGTCGAACGACGGCAGGCGAGTCCTGTCGTGAGAAAAGGAGCTTCACGACGTTTTGCCGTTTCTTACAACTGACACGAAGAGCTGGAATGAGGCAGTCGCTACCTATATAAACGGAAAAGCAATCAACGGGAAACGAAGAGAGAAAAATTGTCGTACATTGAGAGTCTGCAACTGCTGTGCGCCGCACCCCGGCGCTCCTGAATCATTCATCATGGAACGCTCGCCGATTTCGTATCACTTTTCATCGAAATTACATCTTTGATCTCGCGACGGGATCACGATTGCAGTCTAGCTTTTTAATTAATTCAAAATGGACGCGTTGATAACGTTTCTAAAATTAATTCATCGAGTATAGCGTGATCCATCATTCGCCCACGAGAAAAGATTTATCATGTTGAAAAGTTCTCTATCCCGAGTCATTTAATTTATAATTGTTATGTACATCTATTACTTTATTTGACATCACCGTAATCTGTCATTTCTATACTCCATAAATCCCATTACTTTTCTGCGTATATTGAAATTTTATAACTTTACCAGAGATAATTTAAAAATATTTTTACAAACATATATATGCATTTTCCCTTTCAATTCATCTTTATTTTAAAATAAAAAAATATTTTTGAGAAATATAGAGAAATACTTTTATAATTGTCTCTCGAAACTTCGTATATTTGCAAAGATATCGAAACCTCAGTGATATTAAATTAAAAATTTGAAGAAAAACAAAAAAATTTACAACTTTTCTTCATCGTTGTGATAATAAACTGATATTGAATGTGCGACACGTGGCTGTCGAGGAAGTTGCTCGATTTCGAGATAACATAATGATCGTTTTGTCTGCATCAGACTATATGACGCCAGAAAAAATTACTAGTACATCAGATATATATTCTGTTTTGTCGTATTTATTTTTATAAAAGCTTTATTCACGCTATGTTTGATTATCAATAAAATATGCATCAACACAGAGTTTAAATCGATCTCTGTATCTCAGACTTGATAAACAAATTACACGTATAAAATAAAATAAATATATTTATTTTTTAGTATTATATTTATATATAATACCGATATAAATATTTATCGGATTAAAAAAAATTTTTAATTCAAATTATATACACGCACCGTAATACGTATTTTTTCTCCGTAAAAATAATGCGGAATCACGTGCAACTTGTCAAACTGTATGTGCTTTGAGCCCTCAATTGTTGTGTCGTGTGCAGATATGCATTTACGAACCTGTAAACGTAATATAGCGACTACACGTGCATTTTTTATATCTGCAACCTAGAGCAACTATCTAGAGCATAATTGCGTTATATTCCACGTTTTACGGCTTCGTGCGCGAGAGAGCATTGTCATGCGTGACGGCATCAATCACATTACATTTCACGTCACGTTTAAAAAAAAAAAATGGCACTGCAGTTAAGAATTTTTTCTCTCTTGCGGTTTTTTGTGTCCTAAATTTTTATTGATACGTATTTGCTGCAAAATAAATGGAAAACGATTAAGCTCTGACCGCAACGTCAACAAATTTCAATGAGAAAATTGAGAAAAATAGAGAACGCATCTCTATACATTTTAATTAATATTTAGTGTAATATAAATTATATTTCTATTTAAAAAGTGATCTGTTTTCTAATTATTATTTTCAAATTTTGAATGGCTCACATTGAATACAAACATTATTGTACGTTTTGATCAAAGAGAAATGTGCGTTAACCTTTAATTAACTTTTCAGCTGCATGAAAATTGGCGTTGGCAGGCCAACTTATCATGTCGCTAATTAATTCATACAAATGTTTCATTGTTGAAACTTCATTACCAGTCACACAGGGAACAAATATTTGATGCGATCAATCCGCAAAAAATACCACCACTAATTATATAATTGGGATATTAATTACCAGAAACTACAGAAATAAATGCTTTTTTCACACTATCTATTACGCTAATCAATAAAAATATCATTACTATAGTTCAATAATCCAATAAACTGGCCACAGCAATAATATACAATCGAGCTATCTAAAGTAACAAGAAACAACGATAAAAGCAAACGTTTTCAGATTCGTTAGGCGAAAAAAATCAAATAAAACAATTCAAATAAAACATTCCTTACACAGATATGCGTAACAAAATTCACATTGATTCATTGGGAAATTTTAAAGGAACAAAGAATTAAACGGAGCATACAAATACTCGATCAATTAAATTTTCCGACGCAATTAAATCTACCTCGCGATCTAACGCAGCGTGAAACGAGGAAGAAAAAAAACGTGCCTCGCAAACCTGCAGAAATTTTAATGGCAGATGTTTTAACGAAACGCAATGGTAACTTTCACACGTAATTATCTGACAATTTGTAAGTAATTAATGTAATTAATGTGTAATATCGAAACAAGTTCAAAGCTCAAGCTACCAGTTTATTATCATGTGGCAGTATTCCCGCAAGGGCAGTCTAACTCCACGTGCAACGCGTTCACCCGTTATCATCCCGCCTCGCACGTTATTACGATTATGGTTGCTAATCCATGTTTCGCGGAGGCAATTAAAGAGCACGGATCGCTACGACGTATCGCCCGTAATTAAATGTGCTAAATCCTTAATCAATAATATGTACGCGCACGTGGTTATTTAGATGCTAATTTAATTGTATGTAACTGAGGTTGTATGTTACTCGTAACTGCATTAAGCTGCACCATGTGTTGTTATCGCTATGCATATTGTATCACTTTACATTTAAACATATATCAGTCAAGAATTTGGAACGCGCTTATTTCGAGAAAATCTAGACTACAAATTGTAAGTAAAAGAAGATGTACGAGTGATCCACATAAAGTGTGACAAATTAATTTAATTTAAAAAATATGAAAGATATGGAAAAACGTTTCACAGACAAAAGTGGCACGGTTTCGAGAGAGAGACGTTTTATGGTCGTGTTTATTTTCTAGGTGGAAGCGCCAAAAAGATATGAAAGTCATCTCCACTTTTTAAATGGAATTATATGTGGAGCAGACTTTCAAAGTGCATTTGTTCAAAATTTGTAATTTTTAGAAAACAAGAAAGAAAAAAACTACGCAAGAAAATTACGTACTTTACAAAAATAACAATATGCCAATCAGTAGAATGTGAAATATTAGACAAAATTGCTAAACAATAGTTAAAAATGTTAAACAAATTTTGTTTGTCTCTAGTTAAAAAACATAATATATTTTCAAATGTCTATGTTTTTTTAGCATATAAATTAACAATGAAAAAATGCTTTCTGAATATCTCAGGGTAGCTTATAATATGAGACTTCCAACACAAACGCTACGTCATTTCTAACTAAAAAAAAAAAAAAATTAAATTTTGAACAAAACGCATTTTGGAAGTCTGCTCTTCACATGATCTTTTTATATAATATGATTCCTCTAATTATTCTACAAAGTATTAAAATATGTTAAAGAATAGTTTACAAGATATTTTTATATTTTATTCTGGCACATATTGACATGAAATATTAAATGTCTCGTAAATTATTAACTTTTTTTATAATGGTACCTGTATGATATATTTTTATAAATAGAATAATAAGATAAATCAATTAAAACAAAGTTGTTTAAAAAATTATCCATTTTGCCTATATATTTTTTAATTCTTGATTTATTATATTAAATTATTGTATATATTATATATATTTATAGAAAATCTAGACAGATTGTGTAAAAGAAATGATTGAATAAAAGAAAATTTATGAATTACATTTAAACGTAATTATTTTACTACAAATGTGCATTAAAAAAATATTATTTTATATTCAAAGGACATATAAATATTCAAATTATTCAATTCTTTTTCAAAAAGATAGTAAAACTTAAAGCAAATAACAATATAATTTTCACCCAAAAAATTATAATTCTTTGAAATAGAACTGAAGAAACTCCTTTCTTGTAACTTTCTTAGCATAATAAGATTCCATTAGGTAAGATAGCTCGCAAAATACGAGGCAAATATATGTATAATAAAGGCCAAACCGATAAAACTTATTTCTTAGTCCCATTTATCGTTCTCCCTTGCGTGCCACGCTTTTTCGTTCAACTTTCATTATCTCGGAAATATAAAACTCACTAAAAAATGTGGAAATTCCTCCTGGAGATAAAATAACCAAATCGAGTTAATAAATATATTGCGGGCTGCGTTTTCCATAAATTATTTATTATAATTGTAAATTATATCCAAGGGACAGTTACACAAATTGAAAACATTAATCGTACCTTCAAGAACCGGAGTCGCTCCAGACGTTAACAGATGATGCGTGGCCTAAACTTCCTCTGCGGCGACAATCCATATACGCGAACGGGAGGCTCCGTTCGCTTGTATTTTATAACAAAATATTAACTCACACTTACATGTGCGCGTGCGCATCGTGTCTATCATTTTTATAGTAACAATTTAATAAGTCGCCGCTCAAATCAACGCGTGTTCCTCGATTAATGTAAAAACGTGCGATTCGCAGTCGGAAAAGAATCGAACCGACGGGTACACGATTATTTATAGTACAGTGATATTTACAGGTGTGCTTACAAATTATACTTACAATAAAAACGTTTTAATATGACAACATTCTCTCTGTCTCTTTCTCTCTATCCCTTCCTGTTTTAATTACACGCATACTGTCACCATATCGTTCCCATCCGTATACATACAAAACATTTTACGTTATTTAACGCGAAGCAACGTTACGGTACGTACACGAGCCACTTTGTCGCCTAAAATAAGAGCGCGTGAAATACAATTGTATATAAATGTGTATCAAGTAGCAATTTGAAATGCAAAACGTTTCGAATGGCGAATCGGAAGATCTTTGAAATAATATACTCTACATAGCGATTTCTTTACTCGTGATGAGATAATTTCTTTACACTGTCATGGATTATCTGATTTAAAAAAAATTTAAATCAACATTCACACAAATTAATTTAAACTCATGTGCGCTATTAAACCGACAATTCTGCACGCAAATCTGTCGCGAAGGATTGTGTATAATACGCGAGTTAGCATAACGACAGGATTTCGAGTACGTACGGTATTTACGGACGCTTCTCGTAATATCAGGCACTCCGAACAAGTTGCTTCAACGAGAATAGACTAATTAATACCGAACGAGGTAAAGGGGCGCGATAAGAACGCACGACAAAATTTTGCAAGACCGTTCAGTGAAGTTCGCGGATTTCCTAGTGCTTTCATGACTTCGTTCCTCAATTAAAAGCAATACCTTTGAAAAACCAAAGAACAAGAAACCTAAGTCCTTCGAAATTTCATTCCATTTCGAAAATTAAAATACAATCTCGTCTATTACTTGGCAAACACTGCGTTGTCGGTACATGCAAAATTTTTTTATGCATAATGACATTAACAGAGATAACACAAAATAATAAAGAGTAGCGATAGCATGGAACAAATGTTTGTTACGAATATTTACG